TATATATATATATATACATAGCAGCATGTTATAGTTGGTCCCCCATTTTGGTGACCAACCCTGTTACGTACGTATGGATTTAATTTAATAAAGTATCCAGTCTCTATTGCACGTCTCACTGTATGTATGTTATGGTCTCTTCATTAGCAACTCTAGAAGACCTCACTCCCCGCCGGTCCCCCATTTTGGTGACCAACCCTGTTACGTACGTATGGACATGATTTAATAAAGTATCCAGTCTCTATTGCACGTCTCATTGTATGTATGTTATGGTCTCTTCATTAGCAACTCTAGAAGACCTACTCTCACTCCCCGTCATCTAGTGTCGGCTGTTACTAATTACATGCGTCATCTTTTCTTCCGCTTGTCTTAGTCGTTTGACGACTCCTTAGGTCGCTTGACTCTTCTGACGAATCAAAGCCTACGCAATCTGGTACGCGTTTGTGACCAAGTTTTGCATTCCAAAACCTCACGCCCCAGTACCAACTCAAGTGGTACCTTGTCTGACCAGCTGACGCGAGCCATCCGTCGGCATCGGCAGGAAATGGCAGCTGCTGAAGCCGGACTCCGTTTGCTTGTTGGTGCCAATACTTCGGCTGCAGATTCAGCACTTTCACAGCTTATTCTGGAAGTGAATCAGGAATTGCTCGATTTGGTCCAGCCTCTAACCAGTCCACATACAACACCGTCCGTTGTTTTCGGGCTTTTACCAGATTGCCCTCCTGCACTGCCTCTGGGAAGAGCGATCAAGATAAAGTTGAATCCTGATGAAGTAAGTCATTCAGTAACTGGTGTGTCAGCTTGTACCTGACTCGCTCAACCTTATAGTAGACCCGAACAGACCTTGTGCCTGCATAATTTCTGTGCTCTCTTAATTTAAGGGGAATGTACGTCCTCTTCAGTTGTGATTGAGTTGGCATGGATTGCGATCCACGTGAACCCTATCAGTAGTTCGTCAGCTACATCCAGCCCAGTGTATCTTGTCTAAGTATGAGTTAATCGTACTCCTAATCAGCCACTGGTGGCTGAGTGGTCAAGTGTTCAAACTGGTAGCTTGAAGGTCGCGAGTTTGAAACATTCTGGAGTTTGGTGGGATGCACACTACTAATGATCCAATAATGAGAAACAGCTGCGCCGTGCTTTTCGACTTCCGGGACAAAATCTGAGATGAAAATTTCAAAATGCACTTACGCTACCAACGATGAGTGGTATCATTTAACTGTAAATTCAGTGACGGACGCAACCTCAGTACCTTGAGTGCAAGCAGTAACCACCTTCTCTACCTAGGAAATCTAATAGCAGCAGTTTTTTTAGTTTGTTTTGCTCTCTATTCACATAGTGTTGTTTCACTCTCTCTAGACGACATCCGTATTTGATGAACTGTGGATGCTGGGTGAGGAATTGACGACTCCACTCCTTGGAACATCGGTCACTCAACGTTTGGCCCCGGTAACCTGTCCAGATTTGGTTTCACACTTTGCTTTATTTCACCGGACCTGTCGTCGTCGTTGGGCAGTGAGGCGTTTGGAAGCTAGTTTGTCGGACGACAAACTGCACCTGAATGCCGAATATATCGGTCGTTTGCGAGTACTTGAAGAATTAGGATTCATCGATTCGGCTACCGAACGGGGTTGCTTGAGCCTAAAGGGTAGGTCGTTCTCTCAGTTATTTGCTGGACCTTGTTCTCCAATACACTGATGATTTGGTGGTTTTAGGCTGGCTGTTCGATGAAACTATCTTTCGGAACTGTGTCGGTGGCTCGTGCTACCGCCTTTAACGAGAAAAATCTGAAAACTACGGATATATGTGAGCTAAACTTGGTGTGTGATGAATTATACCTAGGTCCTTGTTGCTGCTGTTCTCACCCCTACGACAGAAGTCACGCAAGGCCCCGTGGGAGTGGGCCTTAGCGAACATTCTGCGCCAGCTTTCCTTCTAGTTTCTCACCTCTAAATGAACCATCTCCAACTCTCGATTTTGTTCCCCTTCAAGACAATTTACCTCCCAAAGTTTGCACATGAACTTGTTCGTCCATAAAAAACTTACCTGAGCACGTGACAATCTTGGCGTTGTCTGTTTAAGGCGGCAGCTTTGATTATGCGATATTTGATGAGGTTTTGTCACCAGACGCTACCTATTTTAAAGTACCGTATCGTTCGCAGGAAAAGCGTGTAGGTGTGTGAAGATTCCAATGAGAAAAAGTACGTACATTCCCCACAAATGACTCACAATTCCTCCTGCGATTCAAGGCACTTACAACGCAAACCTTTGTTGAAGTTCGATAAGTTCAGAACAGCTCACATTTTATTTATAAGGAGAAGGGAATGTAGTTAAAAAGTTATGAGTATTTTGTTCTATGCAAAGTCTTCACAAGTTTTTTTTTGTAATTTTCCACTACTTATAATGTTGCTCTCTCCCAGAAGATCGAAGCACCTTCTTGATGACCTACGTTCAAGTGGATTGTTGTACACGATTTGGTAGATACGATAACCCCCCGAGGGGTAGTTATCACGAGAATTGGAATACTTCAACATCTCCTGGTGGATTCTCGTTGAGATGATACTGTCTATGGTCAGATGTTTATATCCCAGCTTACTGAAAACAGAATTGTCGAATCTTGTGGGAATGGTCTTTAACGAATGATTTAGTTTTCTTTAACTTGAGTTGTCTCCTCATTTTATTGCAGTACAAATCATGCTGTCTTTCCAGCCGTCATTTGAAGTTATGACTTTTGTCTTAGTGCGGAATTCTTAGACAGTGAATGGACTGGCTCACCTCTGTTCACGTTTTGCCTTTCACACCAAAGCATGCATCTTAAACTTATCTAAGTACAAGCGATGGTGTTGTCTAAAAGTGGCGTCCACCATTGAAAGAAACTCACGAATTGTTTCACAATTGCACTAAAGGCCACCCCTAAAAGTAGTCGCTATTCTATGTTTCAAGGTTTAGGTAATTCCGATATCGTTCGGTGGAGGCATTAACCAATTTATCAACATGGTCGCCCAGTTGAGCATCGCATAATAACGTCAAAAGCAACATCGGGAAGTAGAAGCCGGGCTTCAAGTTGTTTATTAAATAAGGAATAGTGAATGGTATAATTATCCTCCTAATGCTATGACTTTGGAACCATTTTTCATTAGGATGAACTATTTAGAAATTTTTAGAAATTTGGAATCTCTCTCGCATTCCCATCGTCCATACCGGCCGGTTGATTGTTCCCGCAAATTCAAAGTTTGTCAGATTCATGGCCTTGTTAAGCGAAGGGAGAATGTAGTCTTTCCAGATATAGGAAGTTATCTGGATATCGGACTGTGAGGGCTTGCTGGGAACTTTCTTGGTTTGTGGCTTCGGGAAGTCTCTTTCGGATGGAGACCACCATATCGCTTCCTAATGCGCAAATGTGACAGTTCCGCGTGAGACTAATTGGTCCTAATTCCCGTGAAGGTTTTTAAGATAGCGTTAACCCTGACTGTCACCCTATCTTTCAGCTATAGTCGGTAAGCAGTTCGGTATCGGTGTCCCTTAAAATAATTGAAGGCTATTCACGCTGCTGAATGCTCATAGATTCCTGTTGCTCCAGAATTAGTTGGCACGGTTAGTTTCCAAATTCACGGGGATAGTTCACGTCAGCACGTGGTTTTCATGCTCAACACGCTTTTTGCGAGACATTCTTCGATAACTGTACAGTTTTGTTTCCCATTGCTTCTTTTTGTTCGTCAACAACTCTATAGGTTTGGTCGCTTGTGAATTACAGCAGATGGAAGTCCTGCTAACCCAACTCCTTTTGGATGGCTCGTTTACTCAGTTGCCACCAGCAGATATTGCGGCCCTTTTATCTTGCTTTGTTTTCGAGATTCGCGCTACGGATACGGCTCGGGAAGAACATACAACACAACAAAGCGCATCGTCAAAACCACAAAGTCATCTGGTTGTGCTCGATACTGCTTCATCAGATACAGTCCCAACCCCGTCAGCCGATGGGGAAGCAGCTGCTTTCGAATCAGCAGTGGTGGCTCGAAAAATAGCCTCTGTTCCGGAACATCTGAAGGAAGCTGTTGCGAAAATGTTCAGTTTTGCATCAAATGTGAGTGGTTTAGTTTTAGACTAGCAATTGACAGTCTTGTCTTACGAGGTTTTGTCTGTCGTCGATTTTGAGGAATTTCTGTGCCATTTTTCTCGAGTCGTCATTAGCTTTTGACACCACTCTGCTATATCCTCACATGGCATTGAAAAGGTATCTCCATCGTTTGAAAGAACACGCCATTGCGTTGCTCAAGTTGTTTTGGGTGAATTGTTAAGGTGCGGATGATCTTGATGTCGTATCTTTATGACGAATTACAGTTTGCAGTAGAAATTTCATAGCAATCGCAAAACAACCACTAGGAACTATCAGTGCAATCACCGCGTGTTAAGTGTCCGAGATATCTTGTTGCTGGTATCCCTCCCTTGTTTTTTTCGTGGCGAGAGATGTTCTATTCTTACGAAACATTGGAACTTGGAACGGTACGAATATCAACTACTGGGTTTCTGGAGGCTTAGGAACGGTGTGGACACCACAAGTAAAGGGATAGGCAGATTTGAGAAACGTGCTTAGTAAAATAAAATAAAGTTTAGAACGTTCAAATACGACCCGACTGCCGCCGTTGCGAACCACAAGTTGGTTTAATTCGGATCGATGGTGCCTCCTGACTGCAGCCGTGCCCCTCATAAGTTTATATTCTCTTTTGCCTTATGCTGAGTGGAAGCGACCGAGATACAGACGGCGTACAACATGGGAACAGAGTATGACAATACCAACCAGTAAACTCAGTCTGGTTATTAAGTACCGACTCTCTAAATTGGGACCCCAGGACTCAAACCACCAACGGTTATTGACATTGCCAGACACGGTTCAGTCATGCAGTCAGTGACTCTCCCTCTTCAAAGCTGTCGCCTTTACTAAGTTGCTGCTGGGTTCCTCCAACCAGCTGATCATGCCATCGTATTCAGTGTTTGGCTACCTACCCTGCTCTTTCTTTTTCCGGTGACCGGAACTGTAGCAGCTAGAACCGATACACCCTTGGTACATGGTTTATAACAGACAAACTGAATCGAGTTGAATTGTGCTGCTCGCTCCTCGCCATAATACACTACGTGACATCGAAGGAACGGATCCAATACAATAAATGAATTGCTTCAGACCACTTTGTTTGGCGGTTTCATGTTACCTTCCTGAAGTTTTGCTCAGTCACGTTAGCGGTGGCAATGCGCATGGAGGAGGTATCACGGTCGCTAACATTCCAGTGAAAATCAGAAGCAGGACAACCACCGCAGTGAAGTTCCGATATTAAATGGTTATAGTTTCGTTTCATTATCGGTGTTTGGTTGGATTATGAGCGCTGACACCCACTTTTATGGACGTTTCCAGCGATGGCCTTTAGTGACGATCCTCCGGTGCTAAATGAATTTTCGCTCCAGCACCTGACACTTATCCCAGCCTTTTTGTTCATAGAAAGATATCGGCCACTGGTGGGGTGATGCTAACAGTACACCGTACGTTCCAGGTAGTTTTTCTTAGGACCATTCCTGTAATCTGTTCCAACCACTGATGCTCTATGAGTAGCAACGGCAACAAACAGACCAACAGGTAAGCATCTAGGCAACCCTCTATGAAGTAAAACACCTTTAAGATAAACATGGTTTTAACGGATATATTTCCGTTCAGTGCACATATTTTGTGTAGCTGCTTTCTTCATGAACTAGCCCATTAATCTACTGAGAAGATTACCACCGTTGTAACAAATAAGTTTGATTTTTTCAAGCCAGTAAGGTGCTTTCAAGGTGGTAAGAAGTATTGCTCTCTCTGAAATTGTGTCGGCTTTAGCAGCCAAAATTTTACCACAAATGAGTAAGCCACCGTGCTATCCTACAGGATCGCCAATGGCTGTATTGTCTAAATATATGTCAGGTTTACAGATGAGATAGGAGAACCATACTAATCACATCACTCAAGTGCGAACACGTTCACCCGTTCAGACGTGAGAATTCAGATGTGTCCAACGTGCGCTGGTGGAATACTGGTAACACGTTCGCCTTGCATGTCAGGTGTCCGGAGTTCAAACCCTGGCACAGCCATTGGATATGCACTGCTGATGAATTCTAATAAGAGCGAAACTCGAGTCCAGTGCTTCCCGCCCTCTCGGTGTGGATTCACATGAGTAATTGCGCCAGGATAGGAGGACAACTGTTCGGAACGAGAGTGATGTGAAACTTAAAAAAATATCCCACATTGTTTGAAGCGTGTTTCTTGTGATAGGAACGGCCTCCAATGAAATTGTGGGAAGCATCATTTAAAGGACTACAAATGCTTGGTAGAGTGCAACGGGGGAAGAATTTCCCAACTGATAAAAGAGACCAGTTATGTTGGCGGGCAAGGAACTCGCTGGTAAAAGCTTCAATGTTTTGCTTGCTATCCGTCGCCATTCCCGTTTGGAGCAATTCAGTTTTGTAAATTTTCCCCTCGAAGCAATGTTCCCGGGGATAACGAAGTTTTTCATTGATACCAGCGTATGTTCATCAAAGGAGGAACTCATGCGAACAGTATCACACGCTGTCTGAAGCGTGGCACCGAAAATCCACTCGTGTCTTAGTGCTTGAGTAGCGCCGGGTATGATGAAACACACTGTTTTATTTGTAGCAGATGCGCTAAGTGTTTAGTAGCATTGCCTATTCACGACTGGGAAATCACAATGCAACACGGTGGTTCTCTGTAATGATTACCGACTACTGACATCCTAGACATTACTATTATGTCGGGTGTGCACTCGATAGAAACCACTGTGGATGACCTGTGAGGGAGAATTTCTCTGATGCAACAACATAAAAGGGTTACTTTTGGGAAGTCAATGATTGCCATTGAAATCTGCATCGAACTTTCAACGTGTACCCCATAGTAATTCTGTACCCCTCTCCTCGTCTTTTTGTGGCCGGCTTTTAGTTGGAGCAGCTCCAAAGAAAACACGGCCTCAGTGATCCGACCGCAGACACCCGACTTAACTGCACGCTAGTTCAAGTAACACACGCATGGGCTACTGGACACCCATTTTCCACACTGGTCACTCTCACCGAAATGCAAGAAGGCAACTTGGTTCGTGGACTTTTGCGTCTGGATGAACTGCTCCGCCACATTTGCAATGCCTGTCATCGACTCGGTGACCAGGCACTTGGCCTACGAATGAATGAGGCTCGCAATGCGATTCACAGGGATCTCGTCTGTGCGCCCAGTTTGTATATCTCTGAGGAGTTTGTCTATTCAACGGCTGACAAATCGGAACCCACTTGACAGTCTACTATGATGTACATTTTTTATTTAGTTTTTTTGTACAAAAATTCTGTTAATTTTTCAAACTATTTTGCATTTATTGTAGCCTGGGGTTTCCTGAGCCATCCTGATAGTTCAGAGCCTCATATACGTTCAGCTGTCTTCGTCCTATTTACGTGTTACTGTTCGGGTGTTTCCAATGTAAACCGTATGTCATCGCGATGAAATTCAGGGGGTTGTCACTTTTTTCCACTATTATCCTTTAAGTTGAAAGCTCAGGAAGGAAAATCGTATGCAGTGGAACTCACAGGCCTTTCGTTGGAATAGCACTTTCGAGTATCTTAGACGTTCGCTTCGAGCCTGTTGGCTTTGACGGCTACAAGTTTGTCCACTTGTAGTTTTATTGTACGGACAGCCGAGAATAGGAAAGCGGCAACACTTTAAAAGCCGTCAGCTGCACCACAGACGTGCTCAGCTGTCTGACTTATCATTCTGACTGTAAACACTGACCAAAATCATCCTATCCTTTGACATGCACTTTATACCCACAATGTGTAAGGTCATGCTCCTGGGAATGCAGTCACTGAGCATGCCACTCAATCCAGGGAGAGGCACACGAATTCGTGGAGCGCTTTCCGTATCTTTAAAGTTGTATAAGTTCAGATTGTAGTGGGATAAATGAGGTCAATGCACGAATCTGCAAGGCTCAGGTAGCGTTTGCTAAGCTGAGACACCTCTGGCTTAAAGTGCTATATCCCTCAATATCAAGAGACGTGTGTATCGGGCTACACTGTTGGCTGTTTTGTTGTACAGTTGTGAGAAATCGCCTCTTCTGGAAGTGGAACTGGGACTCCTTCAGATCTTTGACGCCCTTGTATCAGAACTACGCTTGGTGTATATTGGTGTCGGTGGATCAGTAACAAGACTATTAGAAAGTGATTTTTCGGTTGTGTGATGGGGGCTTCCACTGAACAGTGTGTCCAGCACCAGAAGTTGTACAGGTTAGGCCATGTATTGCATGTGCAGAATCATTATTTACCAAAGAGTACTGTTTTGCGCGCCCAATACAGTGGCGAAAGCAGCGAGGTAACCAGCCCTTGACCTGGCAGAGGGGTATGAAAAAGATTACGGAACGTTTCGGTGTTCTTGTTGCTACTCACCCTCTAGGACAAGGGGTGCGCCTGGTTGGAGACACAAAACATGACTGCTAACCGATGTCACTGGCGTTCGTGTCATTTTCTATCCAGATTACTTGAATGAGTATCCGGAGGTGTACGCGCCTCGAAATGATCGCAATAAGCTGGCACTAAGTCCCTACCCCCTATTTAGATCCTCAAGCCCCTCTTGAATTATCTCCAATTTAATGAAGCTTCAAATTGCTGGTATTTCAACTTTGGTTCGGCCCTATCGTGGTTGCCAGCCGACCCTTAGACGCACAGCCGAAATCTCTATGATACCGTGCTTTAAAAGGAGGAAAGTTGCAGGTAAAAATTTGGCGTTTGTCGGCATTCATTCGAAACCATAAAATCTTCCCAGATAATAACAATTTTGCGTACTAAAATTTTAATTTGAACGCAAGATTCACATTTATAATTGCGCCCGTGACTCAGAAGCCAATCCTTGGACGCATACCAGAAATTTCTTTGAAACGATAGTTTGAACGAAGGAAACTCTAACACGAAGTTTTATGATTTGATGATAGTTACTTGAAACCTTAAAATCTGCCCATGCCACCGTAGTTTTTCCGGAAATTGTTTCATACATAACCAAGGTCTATTATTACCGCCGAATTCGTTTTTGATTGCCGTCGTGGCTCATCGGAATTTGTCTGTGAATGTAATAAATCATTTTGTGGGGAAGTTGGCTTCTCCACGGTTTTCCTCTTTCACTGCATTTGAAAATGCTCTGAAAGAGTACCCGAGCAATAAATTTGTAGTTTTTGTCCGCGTGAGCTCAAAAAGCAACAGTGATCTGCCACTATTGTCCGAAAGTTTTTTCTACCGTTCCAGCTGGCGTCTGCAGACAAAGACAAGCCCAAAGCAGTTACCATAAGTACCCAAATTAAGGAGCACCGCGAATATGTATGAGTATTGAAGGGGCGATGCTGACCGTTGGATTAGCCTGTCATGTATGGATGTGGTCTCATTGCCAGATTCCCAAATAGACACGAGCCTAGGAGTTACCATAACCGGCGAAGGCAGGTGGCGGCGCGTATAGTTATAATGAAGAGTAATAGCTGATCTTATTTTCCGTCACTGCCTTTCAGCCTCACGGCGTAATCGAGCTTGATGACTTCATGCTTTGTAATGGGAAATATATCACCGGGAATGTGGTAGTCAAAATTCGCACATCTGGAAATGCTGCATTGTGAATTGACTGTGCATATTCAAGAATGAGGATCGTCCACAAAGATCTATACTCGCATCAGCACTGCATCAATTTTTCGTGGATTATTATGCTGAATGCAAAGTGAGCCGCCCGATCCACAGTTCTGTGGATCGGACTAATCTAATTTGTTAAGTCTGACGAGTATAACGCATGCGAACTGTACTCAACTACCCGCCCGGGGGACATTTGCATTGGATTTTCCGTGGGAGTTATTTTTCAATTGGAAAACACCGCGTAACTGTCAAGCACTTTGAGAGCTGATTTCGTGCTCTATCTTGTAGCGTGGGCAAGTCGACGCAATACGCTGTAAGGCAACGGATACACCGGGTTAAGTCAGACACAGTAGCACGTGTAGGTACAGCAAGCACGACGCACGGATAGGAAAGCAGAACGAACGTGTTGCAAACACACGTATATTGGACACCGGGAAAACGGGTACGGGGAACGTAAAATAGCTTGGATGCACGAGCGCCATTGAGGGCGCGACTGGGGCATATCTGACAGTGTCTCTAGCCATTGATGTGGCCCGTCTCGGGGTCCCCATCCAGGAAGACGGCAATGACCAGCGCAGCTGAGTTTGCTGGTAATGGCTTTCATACTTCGCTGCCAAGTCACTGGTTGACCGCCTCTGACTCTTTCACCTGTAAGTGGGAGAGAGGGGGAGAGAATCACTAGTAAGGTCATATGTTAAACATGTGATTAACTAAAATGAAAGCAACTTAATATTCCGAGTGCGAAGTCATAACTATGTACACATATCCATGACTATAACTAGGTTTGAATCGGGATTTCGGAAAACACTAATGTCGAGTTCCTTCCAAGCTTTTATTGGAAGAAGTGCTGAGGGTATTCAGAAGAAGGTTGTGTGGAAAAAGGCAGGCCGACGGATACGTTGAGGTACGTGGATACGTTGTGTGGTGTTGACATTTCTTATTTAATAAACGTCCTATTGCACATATTTCGCGTGTAGAAGCAGAGGTCTCCAGCAATAAATTATTAGAATTGCTCCATGCTATTTTCTTGCTTGCAGTGCCAGTCCATCGTTCCTTGGTTTATGCGCTTCAACAGTTAAACTCGTTTTTTCTTGGTTTGTGCTGGCTTGTACATGAATCACATGCGTGATATGCAAAATACATCCTTTTAGGAAACTTGCTACTAAAAGATGACAATTACAGTTACCAAACCGAAGCGTTAAACTATGTTGCAGGCACACAACTGACGTACGATCGGGACGACCAACTGTAGGATGACAAAACGCTCATTCCGTGAAAATGACGGAGGAAAGCCACGTCAAGTGCACCGAAGAAGCGATTGTGACCCTAAGTAAAGGTTGCCGTGTGCATGTTGAAAGAAAAGCGTTTTCCTTAAACACCTTAACATAAAATGATGAAATATACATTCGGTTTTGTGGTGAGTGTACGCGGAGATTTATCCTCCTTAAACACCGATCTCCGGTTTAGAAAAAGCGCAAGGATTAATCTAATACATACATAGCACAGCAATAGTCCTTCTAGCTGGATGTAAACTCATGTGAATCGGAACCGCTTGGCTTGTGCACGACCTTCATTCAAATGCCCGCGCTTTCTGGCTTGTGCACAGCTAACCAATCAGAATGTTGGCTTGTGCATGAATCGCATGCCCTTTTTCTTGGCCTGTACACAAATGCAATTTGAACGCGCGCGCTTCCTGGCTGGTGCACAGCAAACCAATCAGAGTGCTGGCTTGCGCATGAACCGCATGCCAAGTTTCAATTGCGCTACAATCCCGTTAATCGGTAATCACGGTGATTAGTGAACTTGAGATTCCTCTCACTTATACAGAATAACATTAGTAACATATCACTAAATCGTGTAGCATAATTTGGTCAACGGCCCGTGACACTGGCACATTTACCTTCCTTACAAACCGGTAAAATTAATTTTGGCAGTGTGAGCAGCAGCCCATTTTTCACGGATTTCACGGATTCGCGGATTGATACACAGGATCGAGGCTTTTGCCCAAGTTTCCCGGGTCGGTTTTGTTGTTGTCGGTCAGTGGCTGTCGTTCAACTGAAAGGCACAAGTGAAAAAAGGGTGTAGCACTGCTCTTTATGTTCTCAGCGCGGGGCAGTATGCTCGCCAGCGCGAGGATTCGCATAAATAAATGTCTAATAGTGCTTTAAATTGGGTTCGAGAAGGAGCGTGTACAACCGTCGGAGGAAGGTCATTCCACGCAGCTACTACCCGAAATGAAAAAAA